GCGCTCCTGAGGTCATCACTGCGGCCGCAGCCAGCCCTTGCCTGCTGCCAGCCCTGCACGGGGTCTGCATCACCTCTGATTTATGGCTATTTTTCACTTCTCTAGCATGGGCTGTGTCAAAGCCCAGCTGTGTGGAGCACCGGCTGGGGGGTGTGTGTTTGTGGAGCTGGAGGGTGTCAGGGACCTGGCTGACCCCAAGCATCCCGCGGCAGCAGGGACAGTGGCAAGAAAGTGGCATAGCCACAGTGCTGCCTGCTCTCTCCCACCAAATGTTTTGCTGTCGGAGCCTATTTTGCACCAGCACCGTGTTGGAGGGTTTGTGAGCATCCCCCGGGTTTTCCAGCCAGTGCCAAAGCAGCCAGGACATGGGGACACGACACGAGCTCGGGGCTGCCTGCCAGGCAATGTGTGCCCACCCACGGGTGCTGGGGGCTGGCAGGGGGTCGGGTAGGGACTGCTGCTGCTCAAGCACCCGTGTTTTAGCAGGGCTGAAGCACGCTCAGCGCAGGTGCCTGGCTGCAGGGTGTCCTCTGCCTGCAGCCACCTGCCCCATTTTGTACCCCCCTGCTCCAGCCCCCTTTTTCTCTGCCAGGGACAGCTAAAAGCCCAGCAGCAGCAGGGACCGGTTTCCCAGGAACTCACAGCCTTGAAGACAGAGAATGGTGAGAAGAAAACATGTTTTCCCCCACTGAGCTTTCTTAGTGTGATATTGAGATAGTGGTAGGAGAGACCCCAGGACAGCCAGCCTGCACCAGGGCCACAGAGGAAGGGGATGATGGCTTCAGCCTCTGCACAGCACTGTTATGGGGAGGCAGAGACTATGGCATTCCAGAGATGATGGCATCCCATCTTCTCAAGCAGACAGGTCATCCCCGGGGCTCTCTGAGACTGGCAGTGCCATCCCAATTAGTGCTAATTTGCACCAGTGAGAATGGGGGGAGGTGACAGGGAGAGGACAGGTGGTCCAGGCCACCACGCTGGATGTGGTCGGTGCTGTTTCAGCCACATTTGCATTGCAGCCAATGCCACCGTATTGCCTGTGGATGGTAAGAAGGCAGCAGCACTGCAAGAGGAACAGACGGAGAGCACGGGACTCCTCCAAGGCCAGGAGAAGGAGGAGGAGCGGCTGCGAGATGCCAGCCAGGCAGGGACCACGAGAATCACCCACAACGTTAACATCCAGGTTGGACGAAAAAGGGGTCTTGCTGGGGGCAGCAGCTGCGCAGGGAGTGCGTGGGCAGCCAGGACTTCACAGGCAGTGATCACAGACCTAGCACACGCTGGGCTGGGCTCTCCCATTTTTGGGAGAAGAAAGGAGTTAGGAAGCCCAGAGCAGTGCAGGTCTGGCAATGAACTACAGGGGGGACAAGGAGGAACGGAGAATCCCTTATGCTGGGGCAGACACATGAGGTTTGTCATATCCTTGTTTCCCAGGTGGAAAAGGGAAAAGACCTGGAACTGGAAGAGCAGTTTGATGCCCTGAGGAGGGAGCACATGGAGGTCCTGCAAGGTGTGTGCCGTGACACCCCACTGCCCGCTCCCCCCACACTGCCGGTGCCCCTCCAGCTTCATGTGGGGCTGTAGCGATGTCACCCCCCTGCTCCACAGCATCACAAGCTTGGGCTCACTGCCCCGGTGTCCCCATGCTGGTGACATTCATTTCATGTCCCCCCTGCAGAGCTCCAGAGAGCACATGAGCAGGAGAAGCTGCTGCTGGCAGAGTCTCACCACAAGGCCCAGGTGGCCTTACAGGTACCCGTGGAGAAATAACTGGGGAGAGGGTACAGGTGGAGGGCTGAAGGACCATCTGTTGGCTCTGCCACAGTGCCCTGAGCTCCTCAGCGGCCACCTCAGTCCCTGGTGTCCCTAGGGACCACACAAGCTCTTCCAGCCCTGGGATTATTGGGGCGCCCTAGCCCATGCCCCTGCTCAGGAAGAAATCTCAGACACTTCCCGTCCTGCTTCTTCCTCATCTGCCCTAGGAGATGATCCAGGAGCTGAATTCCCAGCTGAAGTCCTTCCAGGACAGGATGAAGCGGGTGGAGGAGTCACTCCTGAGCACAGACTACAAGAAGCACATCCAGGTACAGGGAGATACAGGACTGGTGGCCTCTGCAGAGGGTGTCAGGGAGGGGACCTGCTCCAGGGTTACTCATGCCCACCCTGCTGCAGCTACCTCATCCCCTGCACCCCACAGGAGCACGGGAGCCCCAGTCCCTTCTGGGAGCAGGAGCTGGAGAGCCTGCACTTTGTTATCGAGATGAAGAACGAACATATCCACAGCCTGGATAAGAAGCTGAGTTCAAAGCAGGGGTTGTAGGTGGGCTTTTCTCTTTTCATCTCTTCTCCCCACTCAAATGCCATCCAGAAGTTGCAGCTGATGTGGAGCTGGATGGAGCCTGGTTCCTCCCTCAGCATGGGGAGGGAATGTGGGTGCAATGCCACCATGCTCCCATCAAGCCAGCTTTCTCCTTAGATAGGGCAGCGGGGAAGTCAGGGGCACTTTCTGGATCCCTCCTCACCCTCATGCCCCTCTTCCAGGTGGAGAGGAACCTTCTGCTGGAGGAGAAGGTGAAGACCCTCCAGCAGGAGAATGAGGACCTGCAGGTTCGCACCCAGAACCACCTCGTCATGACAAGGTAAGTGCTGGCCCTACACACCCACTGGCTCACTGGCACAGGGTGGCAGGGTGACAGCAGCAGCAGGTGGCATCCCCAGTGGGGGAAACGTGGGGGTCTCACGGGTGCTTTGCCTGCAGGCAGCTCTCGGAGGAGCTCCTGGCTGCCCGCGGGGCGCTGGAGAAGGAGGCGCAGCTGCGGGAGCAGGCTCGGCGTGAGAAGGAGCAGCTGCTGTACCGTGTGCTCAACGGGGGGGACGGCTCCCCCTTCCCCATCGCTGCCGGCGAGGTGCCCCTCATCACCACGTAGCACACCGCTGACTGGCACCACACTGCTGGGGGGACTGTCAGGGCTTTCCTCCTGGCACGGGAGCCCCCACTGGCAGGGCAGGCCCTCAGGGTGGCCAAGCCCTCGGGGTGGCCCTGTCCAACCAGGGTGATGGAGCATTTCACAAGACACTTGCGCCTGCCTTTGCCAAGCCCATGCAGGGGGTCCTTGGGCACCCCCGTATGCCATCCCTGCACCCCTTGCTCTGGTGGGAGGCTGTGGGGGGCCTCTCTGGGGATAAAAGGGGTCGTCCAGGACACGCAGATGTGCATTGGGCTGGACTGAACCCAGCACTTGGCTCTCAGCATGACCAGCATCAGTGCTGCCTGGGGGCACGGAGGCAAGGAAGACGAGGCAAGCACTGGAACACAACGAGGATGAGCACGAGGAGGATGAGGAAGGCACTGGGGCCATGGAAATGTTAAGGTGCCTCACTCCCTGGGGAGCATCCCTGGGAAGTGCATGGCCAAGACACAGTGGCTTTCACAGTATGGAAGCAAAGGGCAGGAAGGACAGGTACAGCTAGGTCTGTCTACCATCTCCAGCACTGCCCTTGCCAGAGACTATGTCAGCCTGTCCCATTTTGGGGCTGTGCCTCCTGCTCAGGCTGCTCCAAGCCAATGCCAGCCAATCCTGCCAATTCCAGTGCAAGCAGGGCTTCCCCTGCCCAAGACCTCCCTCGTTTCCTGGGGATGGGGGCCAGGCAGGGCTCCCACTTGTGCCTTCCTCTCCCCATCATCTCCTCCATCGTCAGCAGACGGCTCCCAGGGATTGCTCTTGTGACCCAGCTGTGCTCCCACTGCCCGCCATGCAGATGCCAAGCCCTCTTTCTCCCTGCTGCCCATCAGCACCACCACCAGCCCCATCATCTTCCCCGAAGCAGTAGAGCATCCTCCCACGGAGCTACAAGAGGCTTCAGTAGTGGCTGCCAGAAGGTCACATCCATCTGCTCCAAGCCAGCACATACCCATCAGGGAAGATGCTGCCAGCACAGGTGCTTAGGGCTGGATGCACACAAGCACTTTCCACTGGGCACACAAGTGTGGTGGGACAGTCACTGCTCCAGGGGCTGTCACTGGCCTGTCCCCTCCCTGGGGCTGTCTAACCAGGGGCAGGTGTGTGTGTGTGTATGTGTGTGCACCAGGCCTATGTGCTACTGGTTGTAACAATTACAACTCTAAGAAGCAGTAGCCTCAAGAATCCCATGTCAGTGGTTGTTGGGACTGGTACAAGAGCCTCTCACAGTAGGGCCACATACTCTGCACCCAGGGCAGGGGGAGAACAGAGAGGGATGGGAGCAGGCACCACAAAGCAAGAGAGCCCCAAAGGAGACCCCTACTGCCAGTCACAAAAAAAAACCTTGTTTCATTCATGTCAATGGGCTCCCAACCCTGCTAAGCCCCTTCCATCCTTTGTGCCAATCTTTATCAGGCTGAACAAGGCAGACAGGAAGGCAACATGGATGTGGGTTCCAGCTCTCACCAGGACCCTCCACAGGGTGCACAGAGTGGGAAACAGTAGTGCTTCTTGTCTGAGCAGCATCCCCCTAGGGCATCCACTGGCTCTGGGGAAGTCTGGTGGGGCAGCCTCTGGCTTTGTACAGCAACCTCAGGGATGGAAACACACACCCCAGATGCTGTAACACCAAAGCAAAGGCAATGGGGCAGGTTGCTGTCCCAGCAAATCCTGCTCAGCTGTGGTTGAAGGGGGCAGGATCTCTGGGCAAAGGGAGATGATGCTGGGAGGGGCCTGGCATCTTGCTCTGAGCACTTGGTACCATCTCCTGCTGCCCAGAAGGCAGATCCTGCATGGGACCTGGAGGAATGTACCCAGCTCTGGGAAAGAGGAGTGCTGGGAACTGAGGAGGAGGAATAAATGAGTCCAGAAAAGGAGGTAAGGGGGAAAGAGCCCAGCCCAGGCAGTGCCTTGGCAGTCAGGGCAGCACTAAGAAGCCTCCACTCAACTCTGCCATGAGCAGCTGATGGGCCAGGGTGGGCAAGGGGATGTTGGGGGCTGCAGGGAGAGGTTTCAAAGGCAAAGAAACCCCAAAACCAAACCAAACAAACCATAACCCAATATCAGCAGCAAAAACAATTGCCTGCTTTATCCTCTCCAAAAAAAGCTCCTTTGAAGGGGCTCACTCTGAGGATTCAGGTTGCTCAGGGAGGTTCACCAAACTCAGAAGGAAACAGCTCCTGTGGCTCCTGGCACAGCTGTGCCTCTCCGCAGGATGGGACCTTTGGCCCAAGGGGTCTCTTTGAACCCAGGCACAGGGTGGAGGGAGCCAGGTGCCCAGGGGCCAGCCTCTCTCCCTTTACTGACCCAGCACAGACAGGCACTGTGCTGTCCCACAGGGCTCCTGGGCCACCTCCCTGGCCATGCTTCCCGGTGGCTCACAGGGAGCTGCCCCTTCAGGCCGGCCACTCTCAGCACTGTGCCGGATCCCATAGCCAAAGTAGATGAGGAAACCTGGGAATGAGCAGAATGGAGTGTATGTGGGAAGGGTGTCTCTGTCCTCCCTCCCCTCCCAACCACAAAGACTCCACACCTTCCCATTCTTTTGGGCCACATATCAGTGGACAGGGTGCTCTCAGCACCCTTGGACATTAAAGCTCAGCATCCCTCCTCCATCAGCCCACCACTGCTCTACATTAATGCCATAGGCTCTCAAACCACCGATTCTTCACCCAAAGAGGTTGTGGCCAGCTCTGGGATCTTGAGCGCGGCGAGGCTTACCAGTGGCCATCCAGAGCAGGTACCGCAGCCAGGCAGCCACACTGAGCCGGGCCATCAGGATGCTGTTGATGGTGATGCTGAGGAGTGGCAGGAAGGGCAGGCAGGGCACCTGCAGGGACCAAGAACAGGGGAATGGGATCATGCCTTCATTTGGAGGCACTGACCTGCAGGCAGGTGTCTCACAGCCAAATTTGGCTCTCTGCTGCTTTGACTAGTCGCTGACGGGTGAGAGGAAGCCCAGCCTGGCTATCCAGCTCAGAGACCTGAGCTGGGACTGCAGCCTGTGCTTGAGAGGGATGCTCATGGAGGGTAGTTTGGTTGACAGGTCCTGTGCTGGGGCAGGAGGTTCTGCAGGATTTGAGGGGGGAGGCAGTAAACCACTAGCAAAACCAAGCCAAGGTGTCAAGACCAAGGTGTCAAGATCTTTCTACTGAAGAGCAGCTCTGATTCATGCAGCAGGTGCTGGGCTCGGTTGGGGTTGCAGGAGGGAAAGACATGGTAGGGAAGAACCAGGCAGCCCTCACGGTCCCTGCAGAAAACCCACATGAGCTGCCTGATGGCTCCAACAGTGTTTTGCTCAATGCGGATGCAGCAAAGGTCTGCCTGGCCTAAAGCAGAGGAACTCCCCCCCCATGAAATGTAGCCCTTTCCCCAGGGGGCTGCGGCACTTGCCTCCTCTCTGTCCCCTAGGTCCTTCTCCCTGGGGATGGTACCCATGGGCTGTGCTGTGTGCTCACCATGAAGGATGCTCTCTCCCGGCCCTGAGGCTGCCTCCAGATGAGCAGAGCTGCTGCCAGGATCCCCAGGAGAGGCAGAGCCAGAGAAATGATGCACCAGCCCCTCCCAGCCCGCAGGCAGGGCAGCCCGGTGGTGCTCACCCAGCTCACGGCGCAGGCCAGTGCAGCTGTGGGGAGACCACAGCAGTGTCAGGGCAGCGCTTCCCCAGCCGAGCCCAGCCCTCTCCTGGAGTGCAGCACCCAGGCTGCTATGGTGGGAGGGACAAGGGACAACCAGGGGACAGGGCTTGTCATGGTGGGTGTCATGGTTTTAGGCTGGGCTGGGCGGTTTCCAGCAAGTGGGAACCTGTCAGCCCATGCTACAGCAACGATGTCCCCTGTGGGTCCTCTCATACGAGTTCCCCATAAGGCCCATCCATCGCCCCTAAGCATACCTACAGCTGCCAGAGCCCAGGCTACCGCAGCAGAGGAACCTGGGGTGGGATGTGGGGGCGGCCGGACAAGATGGTCCCACCAGAGCTGCACAGCTGGGACCTTCCCTGCAGGAGTGTCCTGAGTGCTGGGTCCAGGTCGATACCTGAGGAGCAGATACTGGATGTCAAGGTATGTGAGCGTGCACCTGCAGAGCACCAAGGCCAGTGCCTTGTACTGGGCATGGTCAACATCAGCAGTTGGGTGAGCCCTGTTCCCAGCAGTCTCACCTGAGCAGCAGCACACAGCCAGCCACCAGTGAGTAGGCCAGCAGCGTGCCAATGGACATTGTGTCGACCAGGGCTTTCAGGTCAAAGAGGAGGGCCAGGAGAGCTGTGGGGACGAGAAGCCCTTTCAGCCTCCCAGTAGAGCTGGCAGCACTGCTGCTGTGCCCATCTTGGCCGTGCTCTCCCTCTGTTCCACCCCCATCCCAGGTTTCTCTGACACCCACTGCAACAAGATTCAAGCACCTCAATGAGCTGGTGATGCTTCGATCACCAGTGCAAAGCATCCTGTCACCTCCTGCCTGGCAGCTCAGAGAGGCTGAACTGGTGTCCAGGACAGCATGGAGGCCAAATGGTCTTCACCCATAGCAAGACAACCTCTCTCTGGGTGGAGAAACATTGCTCAAACAGCCACTGGCAAGCTAAGGAGTCTGTGTTGTCCTGCCGAAAGAGGACATCTACTAAGCCTTGCTCAAGGTTAAGGGGTAACACAATTGCTCAGTCACCTGCTACTGCTCCAGACACCAGTGTTGCCACCACCGGGCACTGACGGTGACTAACTTTGGCCAGTGGTTTGAAGAGAAGCCCGTCTCGAGCCATTGCATACAGGATCCGTGGCATGGGGAACATGGAGCCCAGGAGGCTGCAAGAGAAGAGAAGAGATGGATGAGAAGAGGGCAGGAACCCAGGAAGTGCCACCATGCCCTTTGCACCTCCTCAGGTGCCAAGGGAGGTCCCATTCATCTGTAGAGCCCACGACCTTCTCAGGACCACACTGACAAGACCACCACCTCCCTCACCATCAGACGAGGGT